CGCATATACCACGTGTTTCCCTGTCATCTGCTTGCTGCTTCGCTGCAACCGTCGCTGCAAGCTTTACTGACTGTACTCGGCTACACCGTCATGAGTGCCACAGTCCCACTGCTCGGCTTTTACCCAATCGCCCGCCCCCGAATCTTAAACCCCGAACTTTGAATCTGAGAGTTTAATCACCCCTAAACGCGAAACCCTGTTCCTAAACCCTTAACCCAAAAGCTGGCGATCCGGCTACGAGATGTGCCCTGAACCCTGAACCCTTGGCTCTCCGGGCAACCACCCAATGTCGCAAAGAGATAGCAAACCCTCAGGGCTTTAGGGTTTTGACGGTCTCGGGTTTAAGGTTCTTGGCCGTTTAGCTGGGCATCGGTTAACCTACACCAGGCGACGCTCCTGAGCGCCCCAGGACGCTGGAAGCATGGTTTCCACAATAGTTCTCTGAGGTCATTGCATTCGTTGCCAGCGTGCTCATCCTCGCCTTGGCCGACGAGACCAGCGAAGTCATCAAGTTGGGGTCTTACACAGTGCCGCTGTAGCTGTAGCTTAACATAACAGCCGTTTAAGCACAACCCTAAGCCCGAAATCCTTCTCTTAGCTTTAGACTACCTCAATGGCCCTGAGCCCAAACCCCTAAACCTGATGTTTGGGATCCTGGCCAGGACCCACTGTTTCAAGCACTACTCGGGTTGAGGGCTAGGTGTTCCGGGTGCAGGGTTAGGGAAGGATCGGGAAGGGCATTCGGGGGGGCTGCTTTCTCTAGTGGGGTTCTTTGCTATGTCGGGCGCGTGATTCGATACGGCCTGGGTCCAGGAGTCTAGGGAAGTGCCCCAAAAGCTGCTGACTGCTTCATCCCGATTTCTTACAAAATTCCCGACGCCCGAACGCTAGCCCCAAACCCAAACCTCATAAACCCTCAAGAAACATACCTAGCCACCTGCCGAAGCACCTTTACGACTTCAAGGTTGAGGATTTAGCATGATTTAGCGTTTTTGGGTGTCCTACAGAAGTGTAGGGGCCCTCCGAAGCAGTGGCTCTAGCCAGCAGCAGCCGAATCGAACTTTAGAGGCCTGGATAACTTTACACCCCTGTTTCTTAGACTCGACTACATCCGAAACCACACGTTTGCCTGTTCGAACAGTTAAGCCCTCTTGTTGTAGCACTCGGAATATCTTCAGTCTCAAGCATGCCTGCGCACTCAGGTTTGTGCTGATGTACCTCTTTCTCGCACTGTTGACGCTGCCAGAGGTGACCCGGGGTAGGACTGAGTGCCGGAAATACATGAACGTCCCGGAGCCATCACATTTGGTACTTGCATCATCAGTTCTGATTCTGCAGGTTTTATCGTTTAGGATTCTGTGCGGGCTTGACGCTTTGGGATTGGCTATTCGGTCCAACCATCAAACTCGCAACCTTGCAGCCGCGAGCCGATCTGCAGGCGGGCATCATGTATCTGTACGTGCGGCAGGCGCGACTGGGTCGTTCTTGAAGTACCAAGTATGCTACTAGTGGCTAGTCTAGTCGTCACAACGAATGCAACCTAACCATGACGCGCTCTTGATATTGCCAGTCTTTATAGTACAATCAATTATCCATATTGTTGTTTTTGGTTGTTGTGGTGGTCGTCGTAGTAGCGCCGGTAGTAGCAGTAGTGCTGCTACTGGCGCTGGTCGTGGCAGTGGCAGTTGCAGTGGTCGTCCTTGTCCTGGTCTTTTCCAGGTTTTCGTCGTTGTCGCCGGCGGGTTCGGGGTCAAGGTCGTGGTGGGGGTAAAGGGCTTTGGAAGGAATTGTGATTAAGTTTAAGTTCTTTTCTTCTTGAGGTCAGAGGGTTGTCACGGCGTAGTGTCTGGGTTTAGGCTGAGGTTACAGAGAGTCAAGAGACGGTTCATGCTCAGGCTTAGGAAATGAGATGTCCGGGTTGGGGTTCAGGATTGCCGTGTGCAGGCACACCTTATCGTCCAGACGAAGGACAGAGACATGGACAAACCCTAAAGGCTGTATCTTGAAAGTTGCGACAAAACGGCGGTGTGCCTCAGGCATTGATGGTTCTGTGCTGGGCAGGGTTTGGGGCTTGCTGGCTTCTGGTCTCGACTAGTGCTGAATGACATGGTAGAGTATATATACATATACCTCCCCAAAACCCTATCCTAAGTGCGAAGCTATCCGGATGTCTGACAGGTGCAGCTGGAGAAGTTTATTGCTCAAGGTGGAGACCCTAACCCGCAGCAGGCCAGCTGTTACACACACACACACACCAGGTATTTAGGGTTGAGAACATCAGTTTTGTATGTTGAGGCGTGGGCCTTCCGGTTGTGGAGTTCACGGCTGACGCATATGAGGTTTAAGATTTGGGGCTCCATGACTTGAAAGGGGAGAACTTAGGATTGTCGGGAGGGTTTACCTGCACGAAAGGCTTCAAGTCTCGCTGTGGGGATTTGCGGTGTTCAACTTTGGGGATCTGGGTTTTGTGGATTGAAATTGCCAGCATGTAAACTCTGAAACCCTTAGCTCTAACTTTGAACCCTTAGGTCTTCACCCTAGACTTTCGCCGTTAGCTAGCTCAAATCCCGAGTTAGCAGGGACGACACGGGGGTGTACGAGAAGAATTGAATCTGAACGATTAAAGGTTCAGGCTTCGGAGCTTAATGCATGCATATTCATAAGCTAAGCCGAAAACGTCTGGGTCTAACATGGAGATCTGAATCTTGGAAATAGTATTTCCTCGTAGCCTATGGTAGAACATACCCTACAACCCTTTTCTAGTTCATGGCACCCCTATATTGTTTATGAGATGGATCCTGTTCTGAAGGGGCATGTCCCAAAGCTTTGAGCTTTGGGCGTGGGTTTGGGCGTGGGTTTCGGGTGCAGCATTTGAGTTTTGATAGTTCTTGGTTTCGCTCGCAGACAGCATGCTTGGGGGATTCGGGTTGGAAGTTGCCGTTCGTAGTACTTTGTGTCAAGGGTCTTGATCTTAACTTCGCGTTCGAGCCTAGGACGCGGGCCTCACGCATTGAGTATTTCGGGGGTTCCTTTGAGGTCACATAGGGTGCAGGGCCATGCTGTTGGTTAGCGAACCCTGAACCCTAAATCCCTAAATCTTGAACCCCAAACTTTGCCTAGACCTTAAACTCTACAAGCCTCACAACTCAAACCCACAACCGACCCGAAAGCCTGAACCGAAAGGTTCACGCGCTTCAGATTTGGTTGATAACATCAGCAGTCATATCCGGATACCCTGAACATGGACTCGTACTTTCCAGTAAACCTCACCACCCAAGCCTTGAGTGTCCTGTCTGTACTGATACCTTCTCACCTCAACCTTCAACCCTAGACCCTAAACCCAAACCCTGGATCGTGATCGGGGATGAAGGCTGTGTTCGCTTCCGCGGGTTGATGTCAATTCCAACCCGGTCGCCTGACCTCAGGGGCTTTCTTTGGTGTGGTGAGAGCTGCGGACGAGCCAGGGGGCGCTTTAACAACCCCCAAACCCTGTGTTTGCTATTATCAGACTCACAATCATAGTAGTAACAATAATTAACCGTTATTATTGTTTCTATTGGTATTATTATTGCTCTTATTTTTTAGTCTTTTTTCATGAGCCCGAGGAGCCTTGGAACTCAGACCCCGAGTCTCGCATTGCTTGAGGCCCCGCCCCCGATCCAGTCAGAGCCTCAGGAAGTGACCATAGTGACCCCAAACTCCCAAGCCTAAACCCTAAGCCCCCCCAAACTCCAAAGCGTCATGTCCATGTAGAGATCGGTATAGTTGGTACCCTGTTGTCGTTGTATATCAAGCCTCATGTAGAGGTCGTTAGGTATTGACTGTAGGGTTCCCTATTGTCGTTGCATTTTACTACAAGGTACCCCAAACCTTCAATTTGAGTTTTAAGGCCCTTAAATGCCGGGGGCTGAACCGATAATGAACCTGTGAAGCTTTATGCCGGCTCATAATCCGGAACCCCACTGGTGAACGTGCAGGGTTGCGAGTAAACCCAATGCCCCAAACCTTCTTCACCGAATCTTGGGTCCTTGTTGCACCAAGACACATGGGCCCAAACCTTCCTCTACCCTGAGCCGATGTCCGAAGCCCCTGAACCCCTAAATCCCAAATCCTTCAGCGCTGGTCGTCCCGCAAGCTTAAGTCGGAGTTGAGAGCTCAGGGTTCGGGGGTGTTTCAGGTTCCAGGTTTAGGGTTTAGGGAGCACAAGTAAGCATCACAAGTTTGTTGCAAGCAGCACAAAGAACTCACAGATCGCGGCCAGCAAGTGTCACATTTCGCATCTCCTGCATGCTTTGAAGCACTCACTCCATCTCGCGTACGGTTGCGATGTCAAGGTTGGTGCGTTGAGGGTCTAGCCTTAAGGACCAAGCCAAGGCTCTCGAGTTTGTATGAATAGCAGGTTCTGCTGCAGTTGTGGCGATTGCAGACAGCATTGTGTCAGTGTCCGGCACTTCACACATCTGAGCATCTTCGAACTTTTTGGGCTTGGGTTCAAGCCTTCAAACCGCACCTGACTTTTAGGGTTTAGGGTTTGGGGCTTACGGTTAAAGGACGGGATTCAATTACGTTTCCCTAAATCTTGGACCCAAATCCCTTCACACTGCCTACATGCAGCCGCGTGGCTCGCAAGGTGCCAGGGCACTACGTCCCATAAACGTGACCGCTATCGCGATGATCGCCCAGAAGCCCTGCAATCGTTCTGCCCAGAACCCGAAAAGACCCTGCAAGAGCAAGGCTCATCGAATACATCGACGTGTCATGGGCTTGCTACACCCTGAGCCCTGTACCGTAGAGTCTTCAACCGTAAACTAGGGGACCCTCGAACCTAAATGCCAAAGACGCTAAACCCTGTGTAAGTCCTTGACCCCAAATGCTAGGCCCGAAACCCTGAAGCCCGTACACATTCATCCCAAATCATCACTACCTTAACTCCTAACGGCCTACGGCCCACAACTCGCAAACCCTAATCTCTAAACTCCAATCGCTAGCTCTTGGCGACCATGGCTGGGGAGGATGGCCGTGAGCGCAGCCGATCGCCTTCGTCGCGGTGCGCCTTTTGGCAAGCGCAGCTGGAGGTTCCGAGAAGGTTTGACAGGATTCGGGGTTTAGGTCAAGGTGTATGGACTGCAGGTCTTTTCGAAAGTCGAGGGTTTTAGGCAATTTTAGGGGATTCAGGGGTTGAAGGACGTGGCTTTTGTTCGGGATCTCATTCAGGGAGCAGGGTTGCCACGAGCATTTCTAATCAGACACGAGAGCAGGTTGCATTCGTACACTGTCCGGGTCTACACAAGGATTGGAGGCGCATAAGGGTTACTTGGGGTTAAGTTTGAGGGTTGTAGTGCTGGCGTCGAGTTACGGGTTGCGCAAGGATTGATATTTTGGTTGATTTAGGGTTGCGCTGGTTCGGGTTTCATCATCGCTTAGGCTGACGGTTAGCATCACTTAAGTTCCAGGAGCTTTTTTCGCTCCGTGCTTCCAGCCCAAGTCCCTTCAGGGAAATCCTGCCAAAACCAGCCTGACTCTCTTGCTAGACTTGAAAGTCGTGAGCTTTAGGAGGTTTGGGCCATGGCCGATGGGGTAGGGGGCTTTCGGGTCAGCAGGTGTAAGGGCTGTGTTTGAGGACAGAGTTCACGTGTTCAGTGTTTATGGAAAAAGAATTGCAATTTTGCGAAGGCCATCTACACGCGCCGGAACCCAGCGAAGCTGGTCACCATCCCGGAGCTTTTGAAGATGCTCGTGGCTGATATGCGCATGGTTTTGAGGGATTTGAAAGTGATCATTGTCGTGCCAGAACTAGTCGCTCTCTATACGAAGAAAGAGTCCTGAAGCCTCGTCTCAATAAGGTTGTCCTAGATGATCATTACAGCGGAGGGTGGTGTCCCGAAATGCAGCTGCAGAAGTGTTGCACGACCTCCAATGTGTCACGCACTGCTCATCCTACAGCATCTGGAATTTTCGTCATCGTAGTGCCGTGTTTCAAGGACGGACACATGAATAGATCATGAACCCTTGACTCTGACGTCAACTGCTAGCCAACTGCCTGAAACGGAAGTATGTTTTCTAACCTCAGCCAACTTTGCAGCTAGTTCCCAAAGCCAGATGCCTTGAAACCGCACCATTTCAACCCTAGGTTTTTAACAGAAAGCCAGAAGCCAGCGAGCATCAATATGCTTCGTCTTTGCTTGCAGCTCTGGCGGTAACTTTGTCAGTGGGTTGAGATTTCCGATCCGGAGTCACGGGCAAGGCAAGTCAGAAGCCCAAACTGTGACATAGACATAGACCTCTTGCGCCTAAGATTAGGGGCCGGGTCGGAGCTTTAGGATGAGTCAGTGACCCCCGCAAATGGCATTGCGCATAACCGTCGATCAGGCTTTCCAATTTGTGGTTTTTGACATGTGCGTTCACGAGTCTGAATTTCGAGGACCACGGTCCGATTGACACAAGTCACAAGCCTGTTGCTTTGTAGTTCTCTACCTGTCGCTTCACAGCATGTATAGTATTTCTTTATTCAGGCTCCTGTAGTCTTGGGTTTGAGTTCCGGACTTCGTTGGGAAATTAACATTGGTCTTATGCCCAGAGCCTAGTTTCACGAAGTACCGCTTTGGGCTCAAAGTTTAGGGCCATGGACTAAGGCGTACGGTTTACAGCTCAGGGTTAGCCTCAGCTTGGGCGGTGTTGGAATATCTTGCGTTTAGTACGAAGGTGTTGAATCTTGGATCTGTTCTTTTCGTCTCATCAGTCTAGATTGTCATTTACAGTGTTCGTACTCCGATTGTGTTGTTGGGCTTCCTGTGTGAGTCACTTACAGATAAAAACGGGGGTGTTCGTTTTTTTCTGTGAGCTTTACGGCCTGAAGCCCTGGATCGAATAAACCCCACGACCCTTTGCGGGTCAGCTTTAGGATTTTAGGGTGTCGAACACCCCAAGCCCCAAAGCAGTTCAAGGAAGTTCGACGGGCAGGAGGCCGTTCTGTACACGAAAGCTTCTCCACTGAAACCAGTGCAAAGAGTTTCATGGAATCCCTAAGCCCCAGCCCTATACCCTCTGGGTTGAGGCTCGAGGCCGTAAGTCCGACAATACGCCCCTGCATTTCTGATTTGCTAAACGGCCAGCAAAAAAAATCTGCGGGTTTAGAGCTTGGGGTTCAGGGTTAAAAATATCCGGCAGCTTCAGCCCAAAGCCCAAATATTTTATCCTTAAACCCGAGTTGTCATCATGGGCCTGCTGGGTCTGTTCTTGGGCGGCATGGTCTGTGAATGAGTCCGAACTATAAATGAGCAAAAGTTCGCAAACGCCCATATTTAAGTCGGAAGTATGACAGGTTACGACCTTTGAGACTTGTCCTTCACAGGTTTGGCGGTTCTCGTGCCCTTCGATTGGTCTTCTCATGTTCCTGCACATACATAAGGTTCGAGAAGCAAACCCATGCATGTTATTGGACGGGCGTCGCATGTGAAAGCCCGTGAAGAGTGTTGAACTACCAGCAGCCCTGCAGCCTCCAATCTTGAAAAAGAAAGTGGGGACAGACTCCGCAGATGAGACCCTAAACGCTAAACTCCGAACTCCTTATAAGCCCAAACCCTCCAACGAGTGTAGGATCTGCAGACGAAGTACCGTCTGAATCCGCAGTGAGAGGGGGCGGGGGGGGGGTTGTGATGAGGGTCAAGGGCCAAGGGTTAAAGGGTTTCAAGGGTAGAGCTTCTGGGGTTTAGTGTGCGTGGTTTTGGGGGTCCACATCTTTCGGAGTTCGGGCTAGTAGGGGCCGAATGAGCCCTGAAGGTTTGTCACAAGTATGACCTCAACCCAACGAAGTTCCACACCGAGCCAGAAGCTCGGCTCAATGGGAAGGGAATGTAAAGGCTACAAGTAGGTGTTGTAGAAGACTCCTTGTACAGCGCGTAAAGAATTCATGTCGTTCTCCGTTGAGATGCCTGATTCCTTTAGTCTCTCGATCCAGAGCAATGCCCTAGATCTCCTCACAGTACAGTAACACCAATAATCATCGTCATGACACTATGTGTTGTGATAAACATGAGTATCAAATTACGCAGTTTTCCGCAGGCCTGAACTTCCCCAAAGCTCGGATTCCAGTCCCCATCAAACTTCGGGTGCCTGGATGGAGATGAGCTTCTACAAAGGGTCACACTATGCCTACTGGATCCTTTTTGGGCCCACTGATAAACCTGATATCAGGCTGAATAGTCCATCACGAGGTTGCAGGATTTGCTAGGAACGACTTTTCAAGCCGGAATGCTTGTACCCTAAGCGCGAATCCCTTGGTGAACCTCTGCGCAAAACACAGCGGTTCTAGTCTGTACGGAGCTTGGGGTGAGGATTTTGGGTTCGAGGGTCATGGAACTTCAGGCTGTATGGTTGACTTTCCAGAGCTTATCAGGAGAAATTACAGAGTTAGTGGACGGCTCACACATTCATTTCGGATGCCCTACAAGCCTTACATGAGTTAATTTTGGGGTGGGGGGGGGGGGGGTACAAGTTCCAGTTGCACAGTGCTCTCCCGGAACATTTTCAACAGTTCGGAGATTGCTGTCGGTTTAGGATTTGTGGCTTCGAGGGTATACCGCCCAGAGTCAGAGGATTGGGGTTTTGTTTAGGGTCTGGACTGCACAGGGTGGGAGGATGTCAAGAACCACTGCACGCTGTGCCGGACAAAAGCGGGGGGTGACGGAATACGTACAGGTCATCCATAAGGTTGGAGAGACATGCTAGTACTAGATACTGATGCTGCAGCGGGGGTTCAGTCTTCAGGGTTTTAGTTTCGGCACTGCTGTTTGATTTCTTGCCGTAAACCCTGTACACTGCACACCGCACACCCTGATACATTTCTTGGCGGCAGGATGCTTGGCTCGAGTATGACTTGACCGTCAACCACGGCACCTTGCGAAATTTCAGAGAACAATGTTTGGGAGTTTATGGACTAAGAAAGGCGGAATTCTTCTTATGACACATAGACAGGGTATGTCGCACTTAAGCGTGTTAGCCCGTGTATCATGGACGTGGGTCGCTTTGCAAAAGTGTCCTTACTTCGAGACCCAGAGCGGGGTACAGGACCCTGACTTTGGGATCTTCCCACGATCCCTCGGTTCGGGAAGAACCTGAACCCCGGAGGCCACTGTTGTAACCAGCAACCCAACAGAGAAGTTCTGCAAGGATGCCTACGCTCCACCTTGTCAACCTCAAAGTTAGTGGTAGAAGCCTTCTTCCTCAACTTTGCGCGGTTCCATCAACCAAGATTCTTTCAACCGCGCTTCCTTCTACCCTGTTCGCCGTAGTTGGAGCGACTCTTTGTGTATGGGTTGAACGAAGCAGTTGTTTGGGTCGACGAAGCAGTTGTTTGGGTTGAAGGAATCACTCCCTGGTCCATGGTTGAGTGAACCCGCGTGCCGGGGTTGAAAGAAACAGGTTTTGGGGTGGAATGCATTCGCGTTTTCGGGTTGACAGAATCCGCGGGCACCGGTTGAATGAATAATTGTCGAAAAGCTCAAGGAATCCGCGCGCGACCAAAGTTAGTTGTTGGAGAATAGGGTTGCCCGCCAAAACTCTCAACTTGCCCAGCACTCCCTCACGGCGTCAGGGGCTAGCGCATCCGCATCGTAAGGAAATGCCCTTGCCTCGGTAGTGTTGCGACGAACCTGAAGGCCCTGGGAAGGAAGAACAACCTTGTCTAAAGGGCTTGCCGGGCGAGTTGTACATTGCTCTGACCTTAACGAAACCTTTAGCTCTAAGTCGTGACCGTTAACCCTGAACCCTAAAACCCTGGATAGGTCACCGGGGTCCTCTTGTTCCAGAGATGCCGATTTGTCTCAGGGCTTTCGGGGAACAGATTTTCGGCACAGCGCGTGGCTTGCGGGATCAGGGTCGTATTATGTTGAGGATTTAATGCTACGGCTAGGTCCGTCGGCGGCTGCCCGTTCCCCGCCCTTGAACGCTGCGCCATTGGATGTCACCGTGGTCACGCCTGCAGGTGCCTCTTTGACCAACCAGCATCGTGTATATGTTGTATAGTATCTCGATGGCTGCGTAGCAAGCAGCCCTACAGCCCTAAGTCCCGAGACAGCCTCACACCTGTTGCTCAGATGCATACTGAGGCCGAAACCACTGAGCCACAACAACACTGCAGTGAACTCAGTAAGCCGCCAATCTCTCACATATAAACCATATATATCCCAAAGACCGAACATTTCTTTGAGAGGCAGCCTTTACAGCCGTAAAACCCGTAAACCCTGATCCTGCATCCCAGAAAGGACATGCACCAGAGTATATAGGTCCTAAACCTTCAAATGTACTGGTCCCTGAAACCCAACACACTTTGATCATTATACAGGATCTTCTCTATGCAGTGTTACAACGAAGCCTGCGCCCCCTGCCTTAAGATTTTCAAGGGACCTAAACTTATACCGGCTCACAAAGGGTTCCTCAACCTGGGATTTCAGGGTTAGGGTTTGTGAGGCACGCAGAAGATGGGCCAGTAACGTTGCACATCTATCCTATACCTAAAGCTCTACATCCTGGGCCCTATGCTGAAACCACGAAGTGCTAAACCCCGAGCCGGACAACCTTAAAACTGTAAGAATCCTAAAACCCAGACATATCAGGTGCCACTGCGGAAATCACCGGTCTACTGGCCACACAGACTGCTCCAGACCAAGCTTTACGGGATCAGCTCTGGTAGGTTGTGTACATGCATCAAGTGAAGGCATGATTTTTGATGGATTGGCTTGAGTTTTGCTTTGGGGCCCACCATGTTGCAGGTCAGGTTTCTGCAACTTGGGCCGGGTTTCTTGTGAGGCTTTCTTGGATTGTTGACTGTCCGTGTTGAGCACTTGTGGTTAAGCGGCTGCCTTAACTCCAAACCATGGGCCGTCAACTTTGTCGCCGTCGCTGCCACCGCCAAGCCAGCAGCAGCAGCAACAGCATCAACAACAGCAACACCGAGCACGACAACGGACGGCGACGATGCTGTCGACGGCAGCGAAACGAGGGCAAAGCCATCCGCAGCATGCCAAGGTGAAAGATCTTCTACAGCAAGCTGCTAACCGGCTCAACTTCTGCGTGTGGTGCTCAAAACTGTGCGGCTTCGCTCAGGAGTTTTGAGCTAAACGGCGCTGGTTCCGTCAAGTCTCCCTCATTTGGGGAAAAGCTGTTGACTGGTTTAAGCTTCAAGTCTCTGACGCCTACAGGGAAGTTTCCTGATCTTTGGACCGCACTGAAGGTTTGGTTGGGGAGGGCACGTCTAAGATGTCTAAGCCGGCCACCCGCGCTACGGCTACTGCTACTGCTACCGCTACTGCTCCTGCTGCTGCTACTGCTCCTGCTTCTGCTCCTGCTTCTGCTCCTGCTCCTGCTCCTGCTACTGTTGCTGCTACTGCTGCCGCTACTGCTGCCGCTACTGCTGCCGCTGCTGCTGCCGCTACTGCTGCCGCTACCGCTGCCGCTCCTGCTACCTACTACTACTACTACTACTACTACTACTACTACTACTACTACTACTTTAGAGGAGCAGGCGGGCGACTACTACTACTTCACGGGGGCAGGCGGTGGAGCAGTACTACTACTGTAGCGGGGCAGGCAGTGGAGTACTATGCTCTTGTAGAGGAGCTACTGCTACTTTAGAGGGTAGGCGGACGATTACCAAAGCCAAGCCAAGCCAAACCAAGCCAAGCCAAACCATTTTAAAGAGAACTCTTTTCACCGTTGTGTCAGAGGGAAACCCAGTCTAATAGTAGGACCCTATCTAATAGGAAAACCGTATCGAACATTAAAACCGGCCTGCTCTTCCCAATGAGCAAATGAGTTCTGCAGCCTGGGTCTTCTATAATAATATAATAGGGTGTGGGATGCATCGCGCCCCGAAGGGAATCCTCCGATAATATTGGAACGATACAGAGCAGATTAGCACGGCTCCTGTGCAAGGATGACACGCACGACACGAGAAGTGTACCAAAGCAAGCCAGCCTTTGGAACGATACAGAGAAGATTGGCATGTGGTCCACGTTCAATGAACGGTTGGTTTTGCAGGGCGGGAGCTGAATTAGAGTCGTTCTTGACCCTTCAAACCCCAGCAGCATTGGTACAAACCATGAAGGCTCATATCATGTTGCTGCTTCGAAGTCCCATGCGTTGCCAGGATGGCCGTCTCTGGTGCCAAGACTGACTTCTTAGACGAGGTGCGGAGGTGTAGTGTCGCAAATGCAGAATCCGGCTAGCACTCCTTGCCTGCTCCCAGAAGATTGGATGTGTGGCTCTTGCAAGACATCCACAGCTCATGCAACAGACCCGCAGGCACTGCAGGGTCCATTATTCGCAGAGTCCATGGTTGAGAATTAGGTCACTGTTGCCAGGGCACATTGATAGTCTGCTGTCTGAATCCAGATAGATTTTATTCGACAGCGGCTGCCATTGACGTACGATCTGTGACAGATGCCTGGCCGACCGATGTGTGGGCACATGTTCGTGATCCTGTGGCTTCTCAGAGTAAGTTGGGAGCGTTGCCACGCTCAGATGGCGGTGTTGGTCCAGTCTACAAGAGTGACGACATGCTGAAAGCTGTGAGTCAGTCCGTCCAAAAGGACTGTGTTGTAGAAGCTTATTAATAATAAGACAAGATCCATATGTCCGTACACATGCCTGGAGAATGGCAGGATGCCAGAAACATCACCTGCAACGTGACCTGGTTTCGTGTTCCCTTCTCTGAAGCTGATCGTCCATCACTCCGCAGCGCCCAAGACTATACGGTGGCAGTCTTAGACAAGTTCGTCCAAACGATCTGGTGGGATGGTGAGGCCAAGGAGATGAGGATGACGGACTTGGCCTGGCCACGGAGCATGTGCCCCACCGTGGCCTTGCACAGCATGGTGGATCCCCCGAACCACGGGGAGTTTTTTCTTGTGTGGTGGTGAGCTCTGTGTGCTGGCCTACTACCGCCTGCTGACACTGGTGGCTCAGCACAATTCCTCGCAAGTTGACAAGGTGGACTGCAAGTGGTGTTTCTTTTGAGTTCTTGTGCGGTTCTTCAATTGGTGTCTTAATTTGCCTGAGGAGCTGTCCCACAGACTTCCATTATGTCACAGCAGAGACCCCATCTTCCTGCACTCTGCAAAAGCAAGCTGAGCAGAATGAGCAAACTCGTGAGTTCTTTGGCCTGGATGTCGCAGCATTGGTGCAACTGGCTGTTCGTACCCGCCACTTCCCAGAATAGTATCAATCAAGCTTAGTATGATGTCATGCTTGCAGATTAGACATTGGAGTGTGCAGCATTACGTGTTGCACAAGGTGACCACTTAGCAGCCCGTCCACAGACAGGAGAACAATCACGACCAAGCAGATTGCAGACTTCCTGAACCAGGACACGCCATCCAAGGCCCAGTTGACAGCAAAGTCTGGGGAGCTGCCCGTCTTGTCCTTTCACCCCAAGCTGGCAAGCCACCTCATCAAGAACCTTCCGTCTGAGGTGCCCGCTGATCAGCAGGACCTGGTGAAGCGAGCAAAGCAGTGACTGAACTCACCGATGTGCATCGTCGTGGCCCAGGAGTTCTCAACGATGCAGTGCAAACTGTCCAACACCTTCAGAAGAAGTTTGGGCAACTGCACTTTATGGCACAGGGGGCCATGCATTCTGCAGCACTGGTCTTGAAGACTACACTGGCCTCTGATCTCGAAATAGATAGAACAGCTGCTGGTTTCCAGGACATCTCCTTCTTCACTCGCCCGTCTGCTGACGCCAGGTGAGAGAGCCCGAGCCAAGTTTGGAGAGAGACAACAAGCAGCAGGGGTGAAGGCATTTACCCACCTGGGATGGCGACCTGCCTGTGTGAACTCCAAAAAGAAACCACTTGGTCGCTTTGCAGTTCGTTTGCACCAATGCTTTGAGATCCTAGCATGGGAAGCTGAAGAATCAAAGGATGTGAAGCGTCGAGAAGGGGCCGCCGATCTACTTCAGGAGCTCTCTTTTGAGAACACCGCCTGTCTTGTTCTTGCGGGTATGATAGCGGACCTGGCACATGAGCATGCCATCTGGACACGTGCCTTTGATGTCCAGAATCCTGAGCCACTTTCAGTGAACATGGCAACACAGACTTTCTTGCAACGAATCAAACTGCGCTTCACTGACGGCTTGATGCTGATGCTCAAGATACTTTCACTGGAGAAGTCCTGGCGTTCTTGCAATCGGGTAGAAGCCATCTCAGTGAGTGGCTGCGTCTACAAATCTTATTCCAGTTAGCCAAGGCACGTCCAGACCCTCCCCCCCGACAGCAGTAGCACATGCAATGCAGGAGAAAACCCTGTCCTTCCGCACTTTTGCCACCGTGTTCTCACTCTCAACGCTGCCTGAGGAGTTGCTGCTGGGCGAAAAATGGAGCAATAATGCTGGTGAGATAAAGCTTGAGTCAGCACAAGCTACGGAACACAAGAATTGCAACCTGTTGGGTTTACGGCTTGGCATTTAGGGTTTAGTTTAGGGTTTATGTGATCTAACAATATGCAGAGGCAACAGAACGCAATAATTGCAATCTGCAGGGTTTAGGGTTTGGAGTTTCAGCTTTGAGACTTCAGTGTGCAGAAGCCGCGAACGCAATAATTGTAATCTGTTGGGTTTACGGCTTGGTGTTTAGGCTTTCCGTGTGCAGAAGCCACAGAACGCAATAATTGCAATCTGTAGGGTTTAGGTTTTGGAGTGGTTTATGTGATCTAACTATATGCAGAGGCAACAGAACGCAATAGTTGCAATCGCTAGGGTTTAGGGTAAGGATTTTCGGGCTTAAGACTTCAGTATGCAGAAGCCACGCAACGCAATAGTTGCAGGCTACTACGGCTCGGGTTCAGGGTTTAAAATACATCACAACCAAGTGCAATCTGCGCAGCATTTGTCAACAGATAAGGCACGTGGTGCTGCAGCGAATGCGCTTGCTCGTCGAGAATGTGACAGAAATCGTGGCAGCTCGCATGCCAGACAACTGCCTGCAGATGCTGTTCACTGGCTTCAGGGTGCCATCTCCGCTTGGTGACAGCTTCAAAGAACCTGGCCGTCCAGCGCTGGCAGATCTGAGAAAGAAGACGCCAGACAGCCTGGCAGCAAGTTTGCAGAAGGGTAAGCTGGACGTGAAAGATTGTGTGAAGGAGCTGCCGAGGATGCTGCCATGTGTGGAGGCGTACCAGGTACCACACTCGGCTGGGCTTGGGTGTTCGTCAGAGCTGGGCTAGAGCTTCTGTTGATTTCAAGGAGTTGAAGCATGGCCGCGCTGCTGTCAGTCTGTACTTAAGTTTTCAGCCTGCAGAAGGGGATGTGGAGCGGCGAGAAAGACTGCAGTTGGCACGAGCAGAAAACAGTGGAACAGCTTGTGCTGGCTATGCAAGCACCCTCCGCCACTCAGATTTCGAACACCAAGGGGGGCACACCCGTATTTGCCCAGCGTCCTCCGAAGATATGTGCAACTCCATGGGGCGCCCAGGATGTTGAAGAGGGCAGCAAAAGTCCGTGGAGATTCTGGCCAGAAAAGAAAGCACGAGGATGGAGGCTTTGGTGGGGGTGAGGCTGGCTTTTTGCGCCGCTGACATGCAGCTGTTGAGAACAGCTGTGCAGCCAGTAGTCCTGAGCGTCAGTCATGGCTTGCAGAAGCTGGCGTGCCAGCTCCTGACCGACAGGTCCTGGACAGATTGAAGACTGAGAAGTTTGTTGTAGTCAGCAAAAGGATTGATAAAGTTGCAGCGAGAACCCAGGCAAAGATCAATGCACAGCCTGACAACAAGCAGCAGCCTGCCAAGATCAATCTGTGCCCTCGTTCCATGGAAGCTGTCCGTCCAGGTTTTGCCTTGGTGCCAGAGCTATATGACTTAGCTTCTGACTTGGTGCGGAAAATTCAGTTTCATGGTTTTCGGGTGCCTTGGCAGTGATTTCTGAAATCATGATTTTGTAGTGGGGATTGCAGTTGAAGCTTTGTGTTTAAGGTTTTTTGTACAAAGTGTTTTGGAACGCTGGGTTGAAAGCTGAAAGCTTAAAGGTAGCAGCGCCCCGCAGGTGGTGCTGTCTGGTGGTGGTGGTGGGAGTGGCTTGTTCACCTCCATGGAGGCATTCAAGCATTCATCTGCTGGACATGTTGTTGTGGTCCCCGATTTGCGCAGTGATTTGACGTCCGTCCCGAGCATGCTGGCACAGAAACCCTCAGGCGTGCAGTTTGTCACGGATGTCACGAAAAAGAAACGCCGGGTGTATGTGAGTTCGAGGGCCAGTTGAGGAGACTCGGCGCAAGGCCGTTTGGCGGCATTTTGGTCCGCTTTTGCGCTCCCGAAAATGAAAATGGTACCAGAAACAGCAACGTTACTGGTAATGTAGATTCAGAAACGTCAGGGTTGTGAAGTTTTTGCAGTGGGTTTCGTGGCTTCGAAGCAGAGTTCCGGCGGGCAAGCAAGCTGTCTTGATCAACGTGGACGAAACGAGCATATCTCTAGCACGGCCAGGCCTAAAAGGCAACATCGTGTCCGGAAAGTACCCCTTGCAGCCGAAGAGAAAGCATACAAGGGGTGCTGTGACCCATGTGGCGAGCATTTGCAACCGATCCGACATCCAGCCCTGTCTTCCGCAATTGATTTTGAGCAACACACATGTTGTGAGTCTAAAGCTGGCGAAGTCGTTGTTACCGTTGCAGCCGAAAGCGGTTCGGTTGGTACGGGGCAAGACTGGGTGGAGTACAGCTGCTTCCTTCGTGGAGTACTTGAAAATGCTTCGAGACGCATTGTCATTCTGGCCAGACATTCAACCCATCCTGGTGATGGATTGTGCTCCAGCACATCTTGCTGACTGCGTGATAGAAGCTGCCAACAATCAAGATTTCTTTACAGCTGTTTGTCCCGCCGGGCTCACCCCTCTCCTTCAACCGCTAGATGTATATTGTTTCCAGGGGTACAAACACTATTTCGCAGAGAAAACCAGACATGTGGAAGACTTTTCCATGTTCTCATGGATGCAAATACTGTTTGGGGCTTGCACCACATATCTGAGCCGTCGAAGTTGGAAGTCTGCTTTTGGCCGGCTTCAGCTAACGGATGAGCAAATGCCTGTGTCTCGGGGCTTGCGGGATGTATTTCCTGCTGGTTTGCCAACGTTGGAGCCGCAGATGCCCACCCATGAAGATCTTCAGGACATGTTTCCGACGCGCCATAGATTGAAGTACAGTGAATGGGTTCGTGTTCCACTTCGCCCGGGAAGACTGTGACTTCGTGTGTAGGCCTTCGTTGGTTGTGTGCGCTTTTCACTACCAGTTTGCCTAGTTCTGAATTGTATTGGTTATGAAAGCCACACCGAACCTCTTACAAGCCCTTGTTACGAAAAACACTGTGAGGGCCCCAGATCCAGAACCCCCGAAATGCGTAAAGAAGATGTTCCTGATTTCGGCCCCTGCCAGACCCTGGAAGATCGAATGCGGCGACTCCTCTTGCAAAAGAAGGAAGCGAAAGCAGAAGCCCGTGCAGCTGCGAAAGCACTGAAGAAAGAGGTTCGGCGCCAGCAGAGCTTGAAGAAACGGGCCCGAGAGCTGTCAGTTGCTGACTTGTTAGACGTGCTGGCAGTCAAAAGGGCTGCTGATGCTGCCAACGGAGCGTAATTTGCATAGCTGAGCATCCTGTGTTGCTGTAACATGTTCTACTGGCCTCACAGCATTGCTTGATGGTCGGCTATGATTTTGTGGATGCATGCAGTACGGTGCTTGCCGCAGAGCAAGCTTCGTGCCTCAAAGCATTGTTTTGTGATGCTCCGCTATGAGTTTGTCGTTGCAGCACGCCGCTTGCCAGTAGAGCAAGTCAAGTACCGTGCCTCGAAGCATTGTTTTGTGATGCTCCACCATAAGTTTGTGGTTGCAGTACGCTGCCTGCCAATAGAGCAAGCACCGTGCCTCAAAGCATTGTTTTGCTCCTCCTTGAGTTTGTGCTGGGAACGGCACGCACGCTGACCGTCAGGACCGAAGTTGTGAAGCAGTGCTATGCTGCACGCCGTGTGGTGACATGGTAAAGCAAGCCAATATCATTTCCAGCGTTTGCTTGCGTTTCGTCTTCGGCTCAAACTGGAAAGCTTCGCGGGCTTGCAGAGGTGCGCTCAATTTCGCCGTGAGTTCTTGCGGCATGAAGTGTTTGAAGCGTCGCTCGGAACTCTGAAAACTTTCAAAGTGACCCATCCGCAGCTTCCTTAAACCCTAAACCCAGAAAGTGAAAGCAGCAGACAACTGAAACCGCCACTTGCAGGTCCAAGTGAAAGCAGCAGACGCCTGAAACTGCTTGGGCCCCAAGTCAAAGCAGCAGACGTCCTTAAGAGCTTTCCTGAATTCCCGACTTGGAAGCCCCAACTGCAAACAGTAGCAGACGCCATGGAGGCCCCGAGTCAAAGCAGCAGAATGTCTTCTCGACATGGTTATTCGCGGCCCATCCGGGCGGGGCAGGTCAATCTTTAACTGGCTTAACTGGCTGAGAGCTTCGATTGCTGAAACTTGAGCTTGTCGAAGCTTTGGGCACAAGAGTTTGCAAACTTTGGCGAACGACAAAGCGAAGCCGTAGAAGTTCCTTTCAGCAACTACCACCGAGCCATGCAGGCCATGCAGTAGAAGAGCTCATGTTTGCAACCTCCAGACACTTGCGTCTTGGATTTGAAGCAGTCCCGACAAGCCCGAGCTTTTAATTAATTTTGCAGCTTGTCATGTGTGGCTAGCGCTCACGTGCTTCGCTGCTTGGGCGCGGCAGTCAGGACTGCGGAGCATTTCAGCAATGCCTTTCAGAGTGTTTCTTCACGGTTTGTGGGCAGCTGCCCCCTTCAGGATATTGTTGTTGTTGTTGTCGTTGCTGTTGCTTGTGTGCGCTTTCCTGTCTCACAAGACTTCGCCTGCAAGATGCCGAGTCTGCTCTTCTTGCGTTAACTTAACCCTTTTTCTTGTTCTTGCTCCTCCTAACATTGAGAAGCTGTCTTTGTTCTGTCCACAACCGCCCGCTTCATTGACTTCATGCTGCAATTCCCTTAGAACGGGAGGAAAAACCGCCAAATATTGACTTTATGCTGCAACTCCCCCTCAGAACAGCAGCGAATCGTAAAGTCGACATGGTTGACTTTATGCTGTAATTCCCCTTAGAACGGCAGGAAACCGTAAAGTCGAAACTGTTTCAGAACCAAAATGGAAGACCTCAATCTTTTTGGAAACGCCTTCGACTTTACGATTTGCTGCCGTTCTAAGGGGAATTACAGCATAAAGTCAACCATGTCGACTTTACGATTCGCTGCCGTTCTAAGGGGAATTGCACCATAAAGTTTGCATTTGGCGACAAGGCTTGCTGCCATTCTAAGGGGAGTAGTAGCATAAAATCAACATTTTGCGATAGGGTTTGCTGCCCGCTCTAGGCAAGATCCGCGAACATTTCAGAAACAGATCGATTCCTTAATGAGCCGTTAATACGAAAATGCGATCTTCCTGTCCGCGCTGGACTGGTCCCCATTTGGTGTCCCAAAATCGGGCTTTTCGCGCCCTTCTGAAACTGTTCGATTCCTTAATAAGCCGCTAATGGGAAAATGCGATTTTCCTGTCTGCGCTAGACTAGTCCCGACTTGGTGTTCCGAAAGCGGCATTGCCGAACCCTTCTGAAACTGTTCGATTCCTCAATAAGCCGCTATTACGAAAATGCGATTTTCCTGTCTGCGCTGGACTGGTCCCGAAAGCGGCATTTACGAATCCTTCTGAAACTGGTGGCCTTCTGGTTGATTGTGGTGTTTTCCTGCTGCTCTTCCTGCTTCTTCCAGTGCTCTCGGTCCTGGTGCTGGTCATAGTCTCTGCGCGAGTCTGCATGTGCATGTATCAAATCGTGAGGACGGCAGAGCCAGAGGTGGAAACACAGATGCCTGCGGCTATAGGCGACTCGTCTGATGACTCCTCGTCTGATGACGAGGCATCAGCAGAGGTGGAAACACAGATGGCTGTGGCTAAAGGCGACTCGTCTGATGACGAAGCATCAGCGCCAGCACCCAGCACTGCCAGGGGCCAATGTGCAATGTGGACCTGGCCTTGTCCTAGATGCTACGCTGCCAACTTGCATGACCGCGAGCGATTAGGCATGCTGAAGCCTGAAGACTGGTCCAAAGAGAAGGTTGCGCAGGAAATGCGCTCGGCGCTGCAGCAGCTGAAGCTTTTGCCTCTTCTGTGTCTTGGTTGTGCACTAACTAAAGGGCCGTCGCTACAGAGCACCAAATACGCTTTTCTTTCATTGCGTAATCTCTGAGGAAGCAGCTGGTAGTTGTCTCCGAGCCCCATGCCAAGTGGAAGCCAGATGAATCAGGACGAGAAGAGCATATGCGTGTGGTTCTGAAGATGTCCTCCACCTTCGCGCATGCAAGAGTGGGGGATGTGCTGAGAGGCAAAGGAGCTCATGGACATTTTTCCTTTTCGAGAACAGGTTTCGCAGCGTACCTTGCGTACGTTCTCAAACCTGGACCAACCAAGCTCGTCAAGGACCTGGACGCAGAGCCGTATTTTTGGCCGAGTCACTTTGACATGCAAAAGGCTTTGGAAGTCATCGAGAAGGTGCAACCAGCCCAGGCCAGCCGCCGACAGAACAAGTCCCAGGACTCGGAGTGTTTGGGTTTCATTTTGTGAGTGTACTCAGGGAATTGAGCATTGTGACAATCCGGAGGAGTTGTTGGATGCTTTGCCATCCAAGAAGCGCCGGAGGACCATGACTTTCAGTGAGTTCACTGACTATGTCATCGAGTTTGACGTCCACGACGAGAGCGGGCTGTGGGGGCTGGCTAAGCGCCTCAAAGTGGACAAAGGCGAGGCAGCTCTTTGGAACTATCTTGAAAGTCGAGGTCCTGCAACCATGTTGGCCAAGGTTTGGAGCGGATGGAACCATGACAAGCTGCCTGCGAGCATTTTGCAATCCTCAGCAGCGTACTCTTTGACAGCCTTCAATGTTCCACCACTTGTGGCGAAGTGGATGCAGGAAGAGAAGGACAGCAAGGTCCTGGTCCTTTCCGGCCCAGGAGGGTGTGGAAAAACAGAACTCGGCTGTGCTATCCTTCATCAACTCACCACCAGGTTCTACTTCATAGATAAGTTCGAAAGCTTGAAAGCCGCGACTTTCAGCAGCGGCGAGTCTCTTTTGGTCGATGACGTGACCTTGGCGCAAGTGGACGTGGACGAATGCAAGTCGTTTTTGGACGTGCGGAAACCGCGGCAGATTCACTGCCGCCATACGAATGCTTTCATACATGCCGGAACGATCAGAATTTATTCGACAAACCACAGCTTGCGTGATTTTTGCTTCCCAAGGAGGCGCGTGTTTCCATTTCAGTCGGCATGCATGTACACGTGCATGACACGTTTCCGTGCTTGTTCCTATATTCATCATTCAAGTTCCACAAGGCGTGCCATGACGACCACAAGGACGCGATCCATCGCCGGATGACTTGGGTTCGGGTTGACCAGAGTCTGCGCCGACTTGCAGCTGAAGCCCCACCAGCTGCTGAACCGGACGGCTTTCCCTTGATTGGCGTGGAAGATGATGCTTGATCGGCAGCCATATGTTCTGCCAGAGCCTGTTTCTGCATTTTAGCGGCCTGATGAAGTCAGACCTTGCATGTAATTGGCGGCCTGATGAAGTCTGACCTTGCATGTAATTGTTCCGTGTATCGGCTTCGCCGGTCTGCAAAAGTTTGTTTTGACCTGGAGGAGTACTGTTGCTGCTGCTGCCGCTGTTGCTGCTGCTGCAAACAGTGCTGTTATTTGCCTATCATTGAACTCCTAAACCTTCAACCTGAAACCCGAGCAGAAGGCTACATGACTCATCCTCTGCCTGTGCGCGCGGTAGCTTGTTTGGCCAGAGTTCCGAGGGCATCCTGCTATCCAGCAGCCAGCAGAGTTTGATGTTTGGTGGCTTGACAACAGAGTTTGGAAGAGATTGCACTGCCCAGAAGCCTGCAGAGTTGACGCTTGCAAACTGGCTTAACCAAGCCAGAGTTTGCTTTGGAGGCACCAGCCTGCAGAGTGCGACGTTTGGTTGGTTCCTCAGAAAGCTGAACACTTCTTGGCAGCCTGCAATGTTTCACGTTTGGCAGCTTGCTTAGCCAGAGTTTGGATAGCGTTTAAACATCCGGCAGCCCGCATAGTTTCATGTGTGCTGGGAGTTTGGAAGAGATTGCACTGCCCAGCAGCCTGCAGAGTTGATGCTTGCAAACTGGTTTAACCAAGCCAGAGTTTGCTTTGGAGGCACCAGCCTGCAGAGTGCGACGTTTGGTTGGTTCCTCAGAAAGCCGAGCACTTCCTGGCAGCCTGCAGTGTTTCACGTTTGGCAGCTTGCTTAGCCAGAGTTTGGATAGCGTTTAAACATCCGGCAGCCCGCATAGTTTCATGTGTGCTGGGAGTTTGGAAGAGATTGCACTGCCCAGCAGCCTGCAGAGTTGATGCTTGCAAACTGGTTTAACCAAGCCAGAGTTTGGTTTGGAGGCACCAGTTATCCAGCAGCCTGCAGAGTGCGACGTTTGGTTGGTTCCTCAGAAAGCCGAGCACTTCCTGGCAGCCTGCAGTGTTTCACGTTTGGCAGCTTGCTTAGCCAGAGTTTGGAGAGCGTTTGAACATTCCGCAGCCCGCATAGTTTCACGTGTGCTGGCTTGTGCACTGTCGTGCATGGAGGGCATCCTACTACCCAGCAGCCTGCAGAGTATCACGCTTGGTATGTTTGGTAGTTTCGTCAACCAGAGTTTGGAGGCATCCATATCCGGCCTGCAGAGTTCGACGCGTGGTCCTTTGCTCAGTTCTGTCACCTGGCAACCTGCAGAGTTTGATTTCCTGCTATGCGCAGTAGTTTTTGGAGGGCATCCTACAAACCAGCAGCATGTGTATGCTTGGTAGCTTGTTCAACCAGAGTCTGGAGAAATCCAAGGATCCGGCCTGCAGACTTCAACGTTTGGTGGCGTGCTCATGTTCTGTGAGGGCATAGCACTACCCGGCAGCCTGCAGAGTTTGACGCTTCCTTGCTTGAGCCGTCGTGTTTGGAGGGCATCCGACTACCCAGCAGTCTGCGGTATGCTTGGTAGCTTGTTCAGCCAGAGTTTGGATGCAAATATCCAGCAGGCTGCAGAGTTCGACGCAACATTCCCTCCATATCTCTATCCTAAACCCCTAAAACCCCTAAAATACAAGATGAACGCATGTATTAGTTAGAAAACTCCTTGTTGCCTTCGAGATATAGGGAAATCCTATACAAAATATAGCCTAAATCCGAAAACTAATAAATATCATAAGACACCAAAACTAAAACTAATAATCCCCTACAAACTGTATGGACTTTACAAGTCCTTATCAACCCTAATACCCGAAAAAAATAAGCCCTAAACGTGCGACAGGTGGGCATTCCACCACCCGGCAGCCAGAGTATGGAGGCAAATATCCGACGGCCTGCAGAGTTCGACGTTTGCCAGGGTTGCATTTGCTAGCCGGCAATCTGCAAAGTATGCCTTCATCAGTAGAGGGCATTGCGGTGACAAGCAGCTTTCAGAGTCTCACGCTTGGCATGTTCAACCCGAGTTTGGTGGCATCAAATATCCAGCAGCCTGCAGAGCTCGACGCAACATTCCCTCCCATATCTCTGCCCTAAACCCCTAGAACCCCTAAAATACAGGATGAACGCATGTATTATTTAGAAAACTCCTTTTTGCCTTCGAGATACAGGGAAATCTTATACAAAATACACCCCAAATCCTAAAGCTAAATATCATAAGTCACCAAAAACTAAAACCAATAATCCCCTACGAACTGTATAGACTTTACAAGTCCTTATGAACCCTAATACTTGGAGAGTCGGGGGACTTAGTAAGTAGGTGATAAGTACACTTATAAGGGGACCTTAATTGGGGTTAGCCTACTTCCTACTTACTAACTACTTGCTAAGTCCCCCGACTTTCCAAGTCCCGAAAAAATAAGCCCTAAACGCGCGACAGGTGGGCATGTCACCACCCGGCAGCCTGCCCAGCTATTTCTGCAGAGTTTGACGTTTGCTAGCCGGCAGTCTGCAAAGTTTGACGTTCGGTGCCGTGGCGTTGCGGTGTCCAGCAGCCTAGAAAGTCTCACGCTTGGCACGTGCTGTGCAACTAGAGTTTGGTGGCATCAACTATCCAGCAGGCTGCAGAGTTCGATGGGCATGTCACCACCCGGCAGTCTGCCCAGCTATTTCTGCAGAGTTTGACGTTTGCTAGCCGGCAGTCTGCAAAGTTTGACGTTCGGTGCCGCGGCGTTGCGGTGTCCAGCAGCCTAGAAAGTCTCACGCTTGGCACGTGCTGTGCAACTAGAGTTTGGTGGCATCAACTATCGAGTTCGATGGGCATGTCACCACCCGGCAGTCTGCCCAGCTATTTCTGCAGAGTTTGACGTTTGCTAGCCGGCAGTCTGCAAAGTTTGACGTTCGGTGCCGTGGCGTTGCGGTGTCCAGCAGCCTAGAAAGTCTCACGCTTGGCACGTGCTGTGCAACTAGAGTTTGGTGGCATCAACTATCCAGCAGGATGCAGAGTTCGACGCAGCATTCCCTCCATATCTCTATCCTAAACCCCTAAAACCCCTAAAATACAAGATGAACGCATGTATTATTTAGAAAACTCCTTGTTGCCTTCGAGATATAGGGAAATCCTATACAAAATATACCCCAAATCCGAAAACTAATTACTATCATAAGACACCAAAAACTAAGCAAATAATCCCCTTCTAACTGTATGGACTTTACAACTTCTTGCAATATCCTAAAACCATAAAGCCTCCTATCCGCTTACACGCAAGCAGCGGGCGACGGAAACATAAAGTTGAACACCGCCCGCCAAGGATGGCAACAGGATGCGGCAATCGGCCGCCCCAGTGTGACTGTGAATGCCTGTGCAGGATGGCTCTCTTGCCATCGTTGGGGGGCCGTGTTCAACTTTATGCTTCGCCCGCTTTCTCGATCGCACAGCATTGATCTTTGTTTGCGATGCGACCAAGCCCTGGCAAGTGTGCAACATCACAGGTTTTCCTCGGATTGTTGTTGTTAGAATCCACCCCCTCCGGGGGCCAGGACAAATAGGAGAACCTGGGGATTTCCAAGAAGTGCCGGAAATTTGACGTTAGCCAATTGTTTGGCATCTACAGATTCGACCCACCACTTCCGGGGGGTTAGGGCAAAAGCTTGTACTGCCCGCGTATTTGCGTCTGGCAGCTCCAAGCAAGTGTGCGTCTTCCATATCATTGTGGTGTATACCTTTTAACATTGTGTTTCACCCACACGTCCCTTCTCTCACCTCCGATGCACATGAGGCTCGCCCCCCCTTTTTGTCATGCTCTTGATAAGTTTGCTGCGGCTAGGACGCTGACGCGTTTGGTGCATGGGGGCCATGCTGCTTTCAGAGCCGCGTTTAGCTTGTGCAGGGCCGTTGCTGGCAGTTCCTGGTCGCCCAAATTGTGCTTCCAAGGAAAGGCGCTTCAGCTGAAAACTTGTCGGCATGGATTCAGGGTACGTTCATGCGACCACTTGCTTCTGCAATCAACGTGTACGATGCGGCAGCTCTTTATTATGGCAGCATTTCTCAAGAGTTTCCGCTCCGAACCCTTGCCTGAAGCATGGACAACAACCAGGACCGGGATCATCGATTGTTGCTATGTTTGTTCGTGTCTTCCTTGCGCCGAGCACGTCGCAGTGTCATCTTTGCTCCGGGGTGTCTTGTGCGTATTTCCTACCGCTTGTGGTTAAGTGCAGCAGGCGCGAAATTGTCTGTAAATACTTCGTAAGGCCCATCTTGTTGAAGCCTCAGGCTTGTCTTACACTCAGGGCGGATATGCTATCCGTTAGTGGTTGAGTGTCGCTGAAGCGCGATTGCAGAGAGCCGGAGATGATAGTGTTTGGTGCCGTCCCGGTGGGAGAAAAGCGGGGGTCAAAGGACGGGGCCCCCGCAGTGAGGTTCAGTGTGCACGCGCTTTGCACAGAAGGTTCTGTGACGCAAACCCTTTCCGGAGTGCTTGGAGATTTGGTTTACACAACACTGGAAAGATTAGGTTCAGCGTGGAAGCTCCCTGTCAGCAGTGTTTTTTGTGGTGGAGGGAGAGTGTCTGTGCGTAAGCTGTGCCCGCGCATGTTTCGGCAAGAGAAATTTTTTGTTTCGAGTTGCTTTCTGCCGACAGGAAGGACCAAGAGAGGCACCAGTGCCTCCTCCAGCTGCTGCTGTCGAGGCCGAGCTAGTTTCAGCAGGTTTTTCGACCTAGTGTCCTTGTAATGCCGCCCTACAACCAGGTGCAGCGTTTGTCAAAGGAAATTGCGAGTACGAAGCAATCATTGAAACGAATGCGTCGTGCAGTTTCCAACCTGTTTCTGACAGCTCGGCGGATTACAGTTGTCCTGGCCATTTACATACTGTCGGAGTATGACATCGGGGCAGCTCGGGCCTATGTTCGTTTCGCCCACCGTCAAAAGCGTTCCAAGGCCGATGCACACACTGAGTACACTGACGCCACATTAGATGCCCGCATTGAAGAGTGGTATCTCGAAGCGGCTCCCCACAAACTAGTTCAGCTTCAAGACCCAGGACCCGTACGTCGGGAAGCTGTTCGATTCCTGGCGCAAACTCAGACGTTTTTATGGGTGTCTAAGCAAAACGAGCGCGGCATGGCGCCCACATCCGCTGCCACAGCATCGGTGTTTGCGCAAACTTGCCAGAAATTTGGAGTGTTGGAGCATGCCTTGGTCAGATCAATCCACAACAACACGATTTCACACCAACATGGTCGCCGTCTGCGCAAATGGGCAAAGCAATATCGTGCAAGATTCCATCTACGCTTCGGTGTATTGAAGAGCGGACCAGTTCCAGGGCCAGTTGAGGAGTCGGCGCAAGGCCGCTTGGCGGCATTTTGGTCCGCTTTTGCGCTCCCGAAAATGAAAATGGTACCAGAAACAGCGCCCTAAACGGGAACGTTACTGGTAATGTAGATACAGAAACGTCAGAAGACGCTCCTCCCGAAGGTTCCCGTTTTGAGACCCCAAGGTTGTGAAGTTTTTGCAGTGGGTTTCGTGGCTTCGAAGCAGAGTTCCGGCGGGCAAGCAAGCTGTCTTGATCAACGTGGACGAAACGAGCATATCTCTAGCACGGCCAGGCCTAAAAGGCAACATCGTGTCCGGAAAGTACCCCTTGCAGCCGAAGAGAAAGCATACAAGGGGTGCTGTGACCCATGTGGCGAGCATTTGCAACCGATCCGACATCCAGCCCTGTCTTCCGCAATTGATTTTGAGCAACACACATGTTGTGAGTCTAAAGCTGGCGAAGTCGTTGTTACCGTTGCAGCCGAAAGCGGTTCGGTTGGTACGGGGCAAGACTGGGTGGAGTACAGCTGCTTCCTTCGTGGAGTACTTGAAAATGCTTCGAGACGCATTGTCATTCTGGCCAGACATTCAACCCATCCTGGTGATGGATTGTGCTCCAGCACATCTTGCTGACTGCGTGATAGAAGCTGCCAACAATCAAGACTTCTTTACAGCTGTTTGTCCCGCCGGGCTCACCCCTCTCCTTCAACCGCTAGATGTATATTGTTTCCAGGGGTACAAACACTATTTCGCAGAGAAAACCAGACATGTGGAAGACTTTTCCATGTTCTCATGGATGCAAATACTGTTTGGGGCTTGCACCACATATCTGAGCCGTCGAAGTTGGAAGTCTGCTTTTGGCCGGCTTCAGCTAACGGATGAGCAAATGCCTGTGTCTCGGGGCTTGCGGGATGTATTTCCTGCTGTTTGCCAACGTTGGAGCCGCAGATGCCCACCCATGAAGATCTTCAGAACATGTTTCCGACGCGCCATAGATTGAAGTACAGTGAATGGGTTCGTGTTCCACTTCGCGTGGGAAGACTGCGACTTCGTGTGTAGGCCTTCGTTGGTTGTGTGCGCTTTTCACTACCAGTTTGCCTAGTTCTGAATTGTATTGGTTATGAAAGCCACACCGAACCTCTTACAAGCCCTTGTTACGAAAACACTGTGAGGGCCCCAGATCCAGAACCCCCGAAATGCGTAAAGAAGATGTTCCTGATTTCGGCCCCTGCCAGACCTTGGAAGATCGAATGCGGCGACTCCGCTTGCAAAAGAAGGAAGCGAAAGCAGAAGCCCGTGCAGCTGCGAAAGCACTGAAGAAAGAGGTTCGGCGCCAGCAGAGCTTGAAGAAACGGGCCCGAGAGCTGTCAGTTGCTGACTTGTTAGACGTGCTGGCAGTCAAAAGGGCTGCTGATGCTGCCAACGGAGCGTAATTTGCATAGCTGAACATCCTGTGTTGCTGTAACATGTTCTACTGGCCTCACAGCATTGTTTGATGGTCGGCTATGATTTTGTGGATGCATGCAGTACGGTGCTTGCCGTAGAGCAAGCTTCGTGCCTCAAAAGCATTGTTTTGTGATGCTCCGCTATGAGTTTGTCGTTGCAGCACGCCGTTTGCCAGTAGAGCAAGTCAAGTACCGTGCCTCAAGCATTGTTTTGTGATGCTCCACCATAAGTTTGTGGTTGCAGCACGCTGCCTGCCAATAGAGCAAGCACCGTGCCTCAAAGCATCGTTTTGCTCCTCCTTGAGTTTGTGCTGGGAACGGCACGCACGCTGACCGTCAGGACCGAAGTTGTGAAGCAGTGCTATGCTGCACGCCGTGTGGTGACATGGTAAAGCAAGCCAATATCATTTCCAGCGTTTGCTTGCGTTTCGTCTTCGGCTCAAACTGGAAAGCTTCGCGGGCTTGCAGAGGTGCGCTCAATTTCGCCGTGAGTTCTTGTGGCATGAAGTGTTTGAAGCGTCGCCCGGAACTCTGAAAACTTTCAAAGTGACGATGCAGAAGATGACCGTTTCCCTCTGCTGCATGACGTGTTGATCCGTGCAGCCAAGCTGGCAGGCTCCAAGCTGGAAGTTATGGCATCAGTCAGAAAGCTTGTGTCTGTGTACAAAGCTCACAAGGAAAAGCTTGGTGCTCGATCCAAGCCGTGGCTGCATGCTCACGTGCCGTTGCCCGCCGACGAGGAGGAGGCTGGAAAGATGAGGCAGAAGCAGCCGCCATACTTCACACTTTTGTGGAATTTTTGGGAGGAGGTGTGGAGAGAGAAGCTGTGTGTCCGTCATTCGGCTCGAACAACCGCGGCAGATAAGACGGAGAACAAAGTCCGTATGCCACAGGAGCACATTTTGCAAGGCTTGTCCCAGTTGTCACAACAGCCGCATATTCCTTGACATTGAAGTCATTCCAAGCCTGTGCCCAGGCCAGTGCCCGGCTGGATGTGAGAGCAGGGCTATGGTCAAGATCTGTTTTTGCAGAGGCACAAAGGAGCAGAGAGGGAAAGCAATCACAAGAGCCCAGAGAGACGGCCAGAAAACCCTATCAAATTGGAAGACCCTATCGCATAGTAAAACCCTATAGTATAGCCCTATCTAGTAGTGACTAGTAGTGAAACCTATCGAATAGTAAAGCTCTGTCTAATAGTAAAACTCTGTCTAATAGGAAAGCCTTATCTAGTGATATGACCCTGTCTGACCGGAAAACCCTATGTAAGAAGAAAGCTTAAGGCTTAAGTAATAGGAACAAGCCGGACAACAAAACCGTGTGCATAGGCGCAGAGACAATTGCGCTGAAACGGCTGCCGCATGCGACAAAAGAGGCGAGAGGGGTGTCACAGGAGCAGGCTGTCGACGACTACTACTACTACTACTGCTACTACTACTCCTACTACTACTACTACTACTACTACTACTACTACTACTACTAGCCAGCCCCCCCGCCTACCAACCACCTGGCGCCTTAACCCATCGTCATCATCGTCAACGAAAATGATATTTGCTAAAGAGGCAGGGGCTCAGGCCCCCTGTCTGTGACCGCTGCAGAAGTTTCCGATGCTCACTTGCCTTAACTGTCACAGATGCAAGGGATGAGGCTCCCTATCTGTGACAGCTGCAGAAGTTCCCGAGGCTCACTTGCCTCAACTATCACAGCCGGTGAAGTTGCAGTGCCTCAAGCCCCAAAATTGCGACAGCAACTGGAGTTGCAAACTCGACGGGGAAGAAACCGCCAAACCATGGGTGGTCGGATACTACGAACATGCTGTAAATACCGTGCAACACGCGGGCGCTGCCAAGAAGCTTTGAACATTCCCAAACCCTGGAGCGCAACATCTTCTAAACATCACAAACAAAGATGCCAGCTGTACGTGGGAGGGGCTCGCCAACACCCTTAAAGCCCAGACTTCTGCGTAGCAGGGTTTGCTTTTGAAGTGGTGTGTGGTGTTCGAGAAGCTGCCTGTACGTCATCATGCCCCCCCCCCCCCCGGGCCCCCACCTTGAAGCAACAACGGTGATAATGAACGGTGGTTAGCAATGGAATCGACATGACCGAAGTACTTTAAATAGCGCAAAAAACAGGCTTCCGCCCAACCAATTTTGAGTTTTTGCCGAAAGCCCTCGCAAAGCCCAATGTCGAGTTCACAAAGTCCAGAGTACGTTTGGTGGCTACATGGGATGGTCCGACATCACGAACGTACTGTTACAAACCGAGTAAACCCGTTTTTCGGGAGATGTTGTTCGGGGTGTCTGCATAACAATGTCGTCATCATCCGCCCTCTCCCCCGACCCCTCCCCCAGAATGCAAGTCCAGAATCGGAAGCTCGAATTTGCAAATTCACAGGTGAATTTTGAAGCTTCATAAGATGTTCCTACGTGACGAAAGTGATGTAATACCGAGTAAAGCGGATGCGTGTGAGAAGAGTATGTTAGAGGGGTAGTTGGTAGGGGGACGCCTACTTCTACAACTTCTACTACTACTACTACTACTACTACTACTACTACTACTACTACTGCTGCTCTACTACGTCTACTACTACTACTACTATTACTACTACTACTACTACTACTACTACTACTACTACTACTACTACTACTACTACTACAGTACTACTACTACTACTACTACTACTACTACTACTACTACTACTACTACTACTACTACTACTACTATTGCTACTCCTATTCCTACTCCTATTCCTACTCCTATTCCTACTCCTACTCCTACTCCTACTCCTACTCCTACTCCTGCTCCTACTCCTACTCCTTCTCCCCCCACTCCAACTCCTACTCCCACTCCCACTCCTACTCCTACTCCTGCTCCTACTCCTCCTCCTGCTCCTGCTCCTGCTCCTACTCCTACTGCTACTGCTACTGCTACTGCTACCTATACTGCTACTGCTACTGCTTCTGCTCCTGCTCCTGCTCCTGCTCCTGCTCCTGCTCCTGCTCCTGCTCCTGCTCCTGCTCCTGCTCCTGCTCCTGCTCCTGCTCCTGCTGCTGCTGCTGCTGCTGCTGCTGCTGCTCCTGCCACTGCCACTGCCACTGCCACTGGCACTGCCACTGCCACTGCCACTGCCACTGCCACTGCGACTGCGACTGCGACTGCGACTGCCACTGCGACTGCGACTGCGATAGCGACCGTTTTCTCGCGACTGCGACTGCGACTGCGACTGCTACTGCTACTGCTACTGCTACTGCTGTTGCTGCTGCTGCTGCTGCTGACAGGACAGCTTGTGGAGGGCCCTACCATTGGAGATCCCAACAGATCCTGGTCCTCCAACCACTTTCATGGGAGTGCTGTCAAATCTGTATTGAGGCGCGCAGAGTCTCAGTCATTTCTCGCACTTGCAGGCGCTATACACGAGCTGGCCCGGTCCCAGTTCCAGGGGGAGATATTCACTTGCTAAGCAAACTTGCTCTGCTCCTTAGCGTGAGGGTTCCCGTCTTACCGCACGGCGGGGGAGTTCGAACTGCTTGCAGTTTGGGCGAAAAAGCGCGGAAGGCACAGGGCCTATCATGTTTCACTCCAGGTTCATGAATGGCACCGTTCCCGGAGCAGATCTTTGGCTTCTTGAATATTATTCCGGTTTTACAAGGACACGTTTTGAGAATGCCTACAGATGCTCTCCGCCGATCCAGCCCCACCATGCCAAGTGAGTGGAAACGGCTCATGAGTCCCTGTTGCGCAAGCGGCAGATCCCTCTAATGCGTCCAAGTCTTGCCTCTGGTCTTCGGAAGCGGAAATCGGCTGGCACTGGCCAATGCTTGTATTTGGTTCGGTATTGCTCACAGACTCCACGGAAATTTGTTTTTTCGTATTACCAGCTTGGGATGGTCGCAGATACCTGCCAAGATCAACGAAGGCGATGTTTGTTTACTTCTACTTTCTTGTAGCCAGGGAAAGCCAGTGTCTACAGTGGTCCCACCTTGCCATGTCTCTGGGTCAAGCAGCGAGCTTCGAAGTCCAACTAACAACAACAACTCATCAATAACACAACTTCGCTTTCTACGCTGCAAGCACTTGTACGTGGGAGCTTTGTTCCGGGGGGACGCGATCTCCTGAAAGTGCAACTGGTCATAATATTGGTCCTCGCAAGCTGTGGAACGCTGGCGCTCTGACGTGCGTCATACACCTTGATTTGCTTGTCTCTTTTACTCCCCGAGTTGTTATTCAAGTTGCATCGCTTCCAGAAGCTGGGCAGTCAGTGCCAGGGTCTTAGACGGTCTTAGCCCCTTTATTGCGTATGTGCCTGTACGGCATCCAGGTATCCGACCGGACCTGTCAGGTCTGTGACTGCACACTTAGGATTACATGGGCTCGCAATCGTAGTTGCGAATTCGATTTTCCGAGTAGTCCCGTTCGTCCGGTAAGGCTTTTTCTGCAAGGCGCAGTAGTCCCGTACGTCGGGTAAGGCCGGACATGCTGTCTACTTGCCAAGCCGGTAAACTCTGCCTAGTAGTCGCGTTCGTCGGGTGAGGCGGTTCTGAGGCCTAGTAGTCCCGTT